CAGACGGTTGATACAGGTTTGCAATCACGTCCCTGAGTATAATAATAAATTAGGTGTTTGAACCTCAGAGCTGAAAGCAAAGCTGTGCAACCCCGACATCAAAATCACGACGGCACGCAAAACAACACAAGAGAACAAGACATTTTCATCGGCTTCTATCATGCTGAAAAGTACAAGCGCGAAGAATCACGCACAAGGAAACAAAAATCATGAAAAACGACTAAGTATAACCTGAGATACGGCCATTTGAACCACTAGACACATAAAAAGGCAGTCACACATCACAACTACAAGCCATCACAGCACAAACATAAAAAACACCACGGCACGCTCACATACAACAAGAGACAGCGTCGGGTTGAAAAGGCAACCGACCACAGAAAGAAAAGTCATCATACAAAGGACTTTACAAAAATTCAGCAAAAATACCACACAAATACAGTCAAAATCAAAGTAAAATTAAAACAAAAATACAAGTCAAGCCATCAAAAGACACAACGAGGAACCACCAAGGGAGCAACAGGTGCACACAGGGATCCCCACAGAGGGACCCCCGAGACGGTGCCTACCTACGACGAGCGCAGGCAGACACCGCCAAAGTGGCGCTGGATGTGGTCAGCGTTCATCTGATGGACCAGCGCCGCAAAGCGACCCTTCCACCGAGGAACAAAGGCCTCATCCAGCCCCGGCTGGTACACACCACGGGCCTCGGCGCAGCGGGCGAGCTGACCAAGCAGATCCACAAAGGAGGAGGCGAACCCACCGGTTGTCGTCATCGCCGCAGGGACGATCAGAGTTTTTCCATGGTTGAAACCGGTGTAGTAGTCGCGCTTCTCCTTTTCGGCTCGGCGAAGGGCAGCGCCCACCTTGATGCAGGCTTGCGAGGTGGTCGGGGGTTGGGCTGTGCGCACAGTCACGTCAATGCCCAGGTCGGGTAGAGCTGGGCCCAGAGCACCGCCGGGAAAGGGGTTGCGGCAGTGCAGGTCGATGCGGCAGCTCTGACCGTTGGCGTTGTAGCCAGACTTTTCCACCCAGAC